CTGCGGTTCCGGGCTGCGGAAGGGCTGCGGGGGTCGCGGGTGAATCCGAAACCCTTGGGTTTTTCTGGTTCAGAACTGGGAGTAGCCTCCGGGAAAATCTAACCGTTTGCGATTGAACATGAGCCATAGACATAGTTGATTTAGCTACTGAAAGTGGTGATTTTCTATAGTTAGTTATGTTAGTTTACCAAAGGGTATTCAATCCAACATACCATCTGGTAAACAAACATGGCTAGCGGGAAAATATCCGATATAAACGGAGGTTTTTCTCGTTGGGAACAGCATCTATAAATCGTGTCCACGTCGCCACGCTTGATGACCCGAGGGTAATCCAATAGACACATCCGCATATTAAATTTGCTGGTTACATATGTTTATATCCCATGATATCCCATTCCTCTTAGTTCAATCCAAATTTTGGTGGGCTAGAATCCAGACAATCCACATCTTCAGACACGGCCACATGACTATCATATCCCCATCAAAATGCATGAACATAGACACATCCACATCTACTATATTGTTGTTGATGCAACTAAAAAAAACAAGGTGGGCCAGAGAACCCAAAAGCAAGACGGCACATAGCAAACCTTTTTTTCTGCCATATGACGAAATTGCCACGATTCTGGGCTAACTGTGCTCTGCACGAACAGTGATGTGAACACCGGTGGTTTTTGGTCTCATTTCAAAGACCGGTGGCAACAGCCACAAAGATTAACAACACTGAAACATAACAACACTGAAACATATCTACTGTCTCGCTCCCTCCCAGCGAAGCTTTCCCCAAGCTATTTGCACGGTTTCCTGTCTGTCCAGCATACTGTCTCGCTCCCTCCCAGCGAAGCTCTCCCCAAGCTATTTGCACGGTTTCCTGTCCGTCCAGCATGCTGTCTCGCTCCATCCCAGCGAAGCTCTCCCCAAGCTATTTGCACGGTTTCCTCTCCGTCCAGCATGCTGTCTCGCTCCCTCCCGGCGAAGCTCTCCCCAAGCTATTTCCACGGTTTCCTCTCCGTCCAGCATGCTATCTCGCTCCCTCCCAGCGAAACTCTCCGCACGCTATTTCCACGTTTTCCTGTCCGTCCAGCATGCTGTCTCGCTCCCTCCCGGCGAAGCTCTCTCTAAGCTATTTCCACGGTTTCCTCTCCGTCCAGCATGCTGTCTCGCTCCCTCCCAGCGAAACTCTCCGCAAGCTATTTCCACGTTTTCCTGTCCGTCCAGCATGCTGTCTCGCTCCCTCCCAGCGAAACTCTCCGCAAGCTATTTGCAGGGTTTCCTCTCCGTCCAGCATGCTGTCTCGCTCCCTCCCAGCAAAGCTCTCCCCAAGCTATTTTCACCGTTTCCTCTCCGTCCAGCATGCTGTCCCGCTTCCTCCCAGCGAAGCTCTCCCCACGCTATTTGCACGGTTTCCTCTCCGTCCAGCATGCTGTCTCATTTGCACGGTTTCCTCTCCGTCCAGCAAACTCTCTCACGCCCTCCCAGCGAAGCTTTCCGCAAGCTATTTGCGCGATTTCCTCTCCGTCCAGCATGCTGTCTCGCTCCCTCCCAGCGAAGCTTTCCGCAAGCTATTTGCACGGTTTCCTGTCCGTCCAGCATGCTGTCTCGCTCCCTCCCAGCGAAGCTTTCCGCAAGCTATTTGCATGGTTTCCTGTCCGTCCAGCATACTGTCTCGCTCCCTCCCAGCGAAGCTCTCCCCAAGCTATTTGCACGGTTTCCTGTCCGTCCAGCATGCTGTCTCGCTCCCTCCCAGCGACGCTCTCCCCAAGCTATTCATCCCGCTTTGCGTGGGGTGGCCGCCCACACCGCAGGTTTATTTCGGTCCGTGAGTGGGGGCTCACCAAGCTAAGAATTTTCACTTTTCCCCCCCGTGGGGGCTCCCCAAGCTAGGGAATTTTCACTTTTCCCCCCCGTGGGGGCTCCCCAAGCTAGGGAATTTTCACTTTTCCCCCCCGTGGGGGCTCCCCAAGCTAGGGAATTTTCACTTTTCCCCCCCGTGGGGGCTTCCCAAGCTAGGGAATTTTCACTTTTCCCCGCCGTGACAGCTTCCCAAGCTATGGAATTTTCACTTTTCCCTCCCTTGGATGCTCTCCAAGCTGCGGAATTTCAAATAGCTAGACAACGACGCCTAGATAGTCCCCCAAATCCCGTGTTCTTTGAATGTGTTTCCATGTTTTTGCAATGGTTTCCTTCAAAGCACGGTACTTTACACTTTTGTCGCCATAAAACCGGTCGAAAACATCATGTTCGACAATGCTTCCAACTCCCTTATCTCCCCAACCGTTGAAAATACCGCTATTTACAGTGTTTTCTTCAATTTTTCCATGTGCCAATGCCGGTAGCCAACTCCAACATATATATAAGAAATCCTTCCAAAACATTTTTTTTGACAGTTTTTTTTCCAATGTTTCCAGTCAAACAGACGGTAATTTACACGTTTTTTGCAATAAAGGCAATAAATCCTTCCAAAACATTGCTTTTGACAGTGTTTTTGTAATGTTTCCAGTCAAGCATACGGTAATTTACACGTTTTTTGCTATAACGTCAGTCCAAAACACTTGTTTTTGCAGTGTTTTCAATGCTCTGGCATCCAAAAACCCTGCAAAATCTTGCTATGTACAATGTTTTTTTCATTTTTGGCCGTTTTTCCATTGCCGGAAAGCTACCAAAATGACCCAAAATTCCATTTCAATACCCTCTTGCGCTCAGACACCCAAAAATCCTCGAAAAATGTCGAAAACACCACCGTATTCTGGTCTCGGTGCGAAACCGTTTTTGCCCCCCCCAGCTAAAGCTGATATAGCGACTGCTATATTAACAAATGTCATTGAGCATTTAGTGTTGCTGTTGCCCCCCAATAAGCACGCCTTCACCGCCAAAGCGGTGTGGGCGGATTTGCACAGTTTCCTCTCCGTCCAGCATGCTGTCTCGCTACCTCCCAGCGAAGCTCTCCCCAAGCTATTTGCACAGTTTCCTCTCCGTCCAGCATGCTGTCTCGCTCCCTCCCAGCGAAACTCTCCGCAAGCTATTTCCACGTTTTCCTGTCCGTCCAGCATGCTGTCTCGCTCCTTCCCAGGGAAGCTTTCCGCAAGCTATTTGCACGGTTTCCTCTCCGTCCAGCATGCTGTCTCGCTCCCTCCCAGCGAAGCTTTCCGCAAGCTATTTGCACGCTTTCCTCTCCGTCCAGCATGCTGTCTCGCTCCCTCCCACTGAAGCTTTCCGCAAGCTATTTGCACGGTTTCCTCTCCGTCCCGCATGCTGCCTCGCTCGCTCGCAGCGAAGCTCTCCCCACGCTATTTGCACGGTTTCCTCTCCGTCCAGCATACTGTCTCGCTCCCTTCCAGCGAAGCTCTCCCAAGCTATTTGCACGGTTTCCTGTCCGTCCAGCATGCTGTCTCGCTCCCTCCCAGCGACGCTCTCCCCAAGCTATTTGCACAGTTTCCTCTCCGTCCAGCATGCTGTCTCGCTCCCTCCCGGCGAAGCTCTCCCCAAGCTATTTCCACGGTTTCCTCTCCGTCCAGCATGCTGTCTCGCTCCCTCCCAGCGCAACTCTCCGCAAGCTATTTCCACGTTTTCTTGTCCGTCCAGCATGCTGTCTCGCTCCCTCCAAGCGAAGCTTTCCGCAAGCTATTTGCACGGTTTCCTCTCCGTCCAGCATGCTAGTCTCGCTCCCTCCCAGCGAAGCTTTCCGCAAGCTATTTGCACGCTTTCCTGTCCGTCCAGCATGCTGTCTCGCTCCCTCCCACCGAAGCTTTCCGCAAGCTATTTGCATGGTTTCCTGTCCGTCCAGCGTGCTGTCTCGCTCCCTCCCAGCGAAGCTCTCCCCACGCTATTTGCACCGTTTCCTCTCCGTCCAGCATGCTCTCTCGCTCCCTCGCTTTCCGCAAGCTATTTGCACGGTTTCCTGTCCGTCCAGCATGCTGTCTCGCTCCCTCCCGGCGAAGCTTTCCGCAAGCTATTTCCACGGTTTCCTCTCCGTCCAGCATGCTGTCTCGCTCCTTCCCAGCAAAGCTTTCCGCAAGCTATTTGCACAGTGTCCTCTCCGTCCAGCATGCTGTCTCGCTCCCTCCCGGCGAAGCTTTCCGCAAGCTATTTCCACGGTTTCCTTTCCGTCCAGCATGCTGTCTCGCTCCCTCCCAGCGAAACTCTCCGCAAGCTATTTCCACGTTTTCCTGTCCGTCCAGCATGCTGTCTCGCTCCCTCCTAGCGCAGCTTTCCGGAAGCTATTTGCACGGTTTCCTCTCCGTCCAGCATGCTGTCTCGCTCCCTCCCAGCGAAGCTTTCCGCAAGCTATTTGCACGGTTTCCTCTCCGTCCAGCATGCTGTCTCGCTCCCTCCCACCGAAGCTTTCCGCAAGCTATTTGCATGGTTTCCTGTCCGTCCAGCGTGCTCTCTCGCTCCCTCCCACTGAAGCTTTCCGCAAGCTCTTTGCACGGTTTCCTGTCCGTCCAGCATGCTGTCTCGCTCCCTCCCAGCAAAGCTCTCCCCACGCTATTTACACCGTTTCCTCTCCGTCCAGCATGCTCTCTCGCTCCCTCCCAGCGAAGCTTTCCGCAAGCTATTTGCACGGTTTCCTCTCCGTCCAGCATGCTGTCTCGCTCCCTCCCAGCGAAGCTTTCCGCAAGCTATTTGCACGGTTTCCTCTCCGTCAGCATGCTGTCTCGCTCCTTCCCAGCGAAGCTTTCCGCAAGCTATTTGCACAGTTTCCTCTCCGTCCATCATGCTCTCTCGCTCCCTCCCAGCGAAGCTTTCGGCAGGCTATTTGCACGGTTTCCTCTCCGTCCAGCATGCTGTCTCGCTCCCTCCCAGCAAAGCTTTCCGCAAGCTATTTGCACGGTTTCCTCTCCGTCCAGCATGCTGTCTCGCTCCTTCCCAGCGAAGCTTTCCGCGAGCTATTTGCACAGTTTCCTCTCCGTCCAGCATGCTGTCTCGCCCCCTCCCGGCGAAGCTTTCCGCAAGCTATTTCCACGGTTTCCTCTCCGTCCAGCATGCTGTCTCGCTCCCTC